CGTGAAACAGCAACACACTGAACGGGGCGAATCTTTTCTCTCAGAACAAGGATTAACCCTGACGCAAGCAGAGCAGACTGGGGCTGGGGAAGTGTCTGCATCCAACCCCTTCATGCTCGGGGGCTCCCAGGAACGTACCACGGGTGGGGAGTAGAGCGTGCTGACCGGCGGAGCTGATGATGTGACGGGTGTGGGCTCAGCCTTCGGGTACATGGAGTAGGATGTTTTCTGCCTCTGCGAAAGAGAAAGAAGTCAACACGGAGACTGTCCAGACTGCTCCAAATCTCCCAGTCAGCAACAGACTGGGCATGCTGGGTGGGCCAGGCTCCTCGCGACGGCCAGGCACACGCGGCCTCTGTGGAGTTCCCGCAGGCCCCAGGGCTCGCAGCCTGGGCCCAGCCTGCTTCTAAGATTTGGGACTGCAACACAGCACGTGCCTGGCTCCACTTCCACCCTCTCATTCCACTGTGACTTGCTCACGCCAGGACATGCCTGGAGAGATCTGTTCCCACTCAGCTGGGAGATGCCCAGCACATCTGGCTGTATGGCAACAACCGCTCCCCGATGCCAAGCAGGGCACGAACCATTCTCTCCTTCTCCTCGGCCTCTGACTGAGACAAGGCAATAGCTAGCTGGAGCTCTTCCTCCTCTTGCAGAGCTGTCTCGTCACGCTTTGGAGGCAGCTGCAAGTAGAAAGAGGAGGCAGCTGTCAGTAAAGGGATCAACAAACAGGTCAGGATCACGAGATCTATGGGGCAGCCACTCACCTGGGACTGCTGAGAGAGGGGGCTGGTCAGGTACTCGGGGGGCAGTTCCGAAGTGGCAGCAGCTTTACCTTCAACTTTCCTATAGTCAGAAAGAGGCGACAGTGCAGACTGAAGGCTCCTTCCTCTGCCCTAGAGCCCCAGCTCTGCACAACACTACAGCTGTAAACCCTGTTCCCAGGAAGGAAGGGGCCTCGGCCCAGCCCCCACAGCTTGGGAAGCCCTCGCTCTGCTCTGCAGAAGGGTGGCTCCATGCCAGGCTTCGCCCCTCACACAGCTCTCGCAGGCAAAGAAACACGCCACAAAGGGTACTGACTTGTTGAGATGCTCGTAACAGGGCTCACAGACTCTCACTTCCTTCTCAATCCCGAACTTGGGGATGGTGGAATACTTGGAGGAGCATTTGCCACAGAAGATCTGTCCGCAAGCCCTGCAATGATGCTGCAAAGGATGGAAGACATCAGCGCGGCAGCAAGGCGCTCCTTCACCATCAGACAACACCCCTCAGGCACCCCTGGCACCTCCCTGCCGGCGGCCAGGGAGCGCGGTCTGGTCCTCACACGGGGTCCAGTCCCGACACGCTCCCAGACCAGCTCAGGCCGTGCTGGGGAGCCCCAAGGGGCGGGAGCAGCACCCACCTTCCGGGTCACAACGCCAAACTGCACTCGGCATCTGTGGCACTCCTCAGCATCGACCCAGTCTGGGGCCTGTTGGGGTTAAGGAAAGTTGTGTAAGGAGGGGAGGAGGGCCTCAGGGAGAGGGTCTCCGTCGAGCTTTCCACCAGCCCCTATGGCTAACCAAGGCACTCTTGTGAATGGGGGAGACTGGAAGCATTTGCAGCTCGACAGGAAATATTAATCCCCACAAGTTATTTCCTCCCATGTTCCTTGAGACTACAACGTTTTCCCAGTCAGCAAGAGATTTTCCAGGAATGTGTGTGCACAGCAATCGTGTTAGCAATGCACTGCTGCCACGCTCGGGCTGCCGTGCTGCTGGAAGGCCACCGGGCAGGATAACATGAGTCTGACTCCTGCCCTGGCCAATTGTCCCCTGCACCTGGTGATTTTAGGCTCAATTGCTGTGCAGCACCCCAGCACCACCCGTGTGAGCAGCGTGTACCCAGTGTCTCTGATTGGCGTGAAATGGAGGAATGGAAGAACTGAAGGCTCAGGGGGAAGGGGACGGGAGACCGAGGTCTGTCCAGCAGCACCAGCTCCCTCCCCACCAGCAGCGCTCACCCTTTCTGCAGCGAACATGGCGTCGCTCTCTTTGAACTCCGGGAACACGTGACCTGTGGGAAAAGCAACAGCATCCCGCTGCACGGGGGCACGGGGAGGCCATGGGGGC